GCTCCTCTTGTTCTGATGTCTCACCCTATCCCAGCTCTGGAACTTTACATGTGATCTTGCATTCACATCACCTTCTCAACATGCACAGCCTGGGGTCTCCAACCCCCCCCTCCTCACCATGCCCTGCACTCACATCCATGCCTGGGCTAGGATAACCCCCTCTTCCCTTCTCACTCTTCAATAGATGCTACACAACCTAATTCAGATGCCTCACACCAGCATCTCCTCCACCCCCACCTACTTCCTACCCTTTCAACCATCCATTCCTTATGCTTTCACCTCGAACAGCTTGGTGCACAGCACCATGATGTCATGTCAAAGAAAATCAATGTCAAAGAAGGTCAGCCCAGAGTATAACTGAGAGTTTCAGAGTGACAATGACTCATTTGTGTTGAACAACAGGAGCCAAGACCAGTGCCACATCCAATTACTATTGAACACCACTGGGGATTTAGGTACAAATGAGTGAGGAACACTCTCACCTAGCTACCCCTTTTATATCATGACACTTCGAGGCAGGTGGCACAGCTCACATATCAGGCACTTATTCAACTACCATTTTTGCAGCCTCTGTACCCTGTCCAGTGTCTCTGAGGTCTGCCACCATGCCATGGTGCCTCCCAGGCTCTAAAAGCCAACATTAATGTCTATTGAATGAGTAGTAATTTAGATTTATATCAGAACTTCTCTGAGAACAATTACTCCTATCAATCATGATGTTAGTGGCAGGGAAAGTTCAGATACCTTTCTTGTATGGTGGCAGCACAGTACTCACATATGAAGGAGGATGTGTCACTGACAGCCTCATCCCATGGTGGTAGTAACACATTACAGGAGCTAGTGCTTTCACTAATAAGCTTGTCACAGATGCTCCACAATTTTGCTCTGCAGATATTTTTTACTGACACATGGTATCAGCTTTTGATTTAAAGCTGTGGGCTCTGAACTTATTGATGTGCCACTATAGGTCTGCACATCCATTGATGCACCTCACCAGGTCTTTGAGGTCCAATACATATATTACTCTGTCACTGTCTATTACTCCATTGATGAGATGTCTTGAATCCAATTGAGAGCAAAGGTAGAAGGTGATGGAAAGCATAAAGTCTGTTTGCGTGAGGCAGGCAAACCAGATTATGATGATGGCATCTTCAGCCTCAGCAGTCCTTTTCATCTGATCACTGTCAGCATAGACTTTGAGAAACATGTCTGAGTCTTCCAGAAAGCCAGTCTTCATACAATCTAAAGCACTTGCACATATAGCTATCATCTCATATTTGTGTTTTCTGTGAATGAGTGCAGCTAGCATTCAGAATTCTCATCGAGCATCAAGGCCTAAAACACTTCCAGCAAAGTGTCAGTGATCACTTCTAAGCCACTGAGATAGCTATGATATCTCATGTTCTCACCTGCTTCCATCATATAGGGCTTTCAACAAGCATTGAACATCATGCAAACAGTTAGACAGATGCATGACAGGGCAGCCATCAATCATCTCTGCACCTTCAGGCTAAGGTACTTCAAACATAATGTACACCAGCATAAATGTGCATCTAAGGTTAGAGGCCTCATAAACTGTAACAATAAAATCTGTATATGCAATAAATTGACAGAGGCAAAGCTTTTAATTACATGCTACTCTAAGTCTCACAAATGAAAGGTGAGCTACATAATGTGACATCAACCTGGCACACTTGACATTTTATTTTGAGGTTTACCTCTTTGAGCCATCATAACTAATGATGGCTGATGTTTTGTGCCAGTCATCACAGGGTGGTTAAGAAAATAAAGTTAATCTGTACTTTGAGATCTGACTCACATGATAAAATATTTGTCATACATTTTATAACATCACATAAACTACTTTATTAGGATGAAGCCCCCTTTTGCTCAATGAATGAATGAGTAAAAGACTAATGCAGTCAGCCATCTGTTTCATATTACATGACTTTATCTTATCTCTGATATGTTCCATGCCTGATATATAATCAATCAGGTGCATGCGAAGAGCAAGCTGCCCTCTGAATTGCCATAATGCAGTACCAGAGATAATTTAGACATCACACAATTAAACATCATATCTACTCACTGAATTATGCTTTCTCCTCTATAATTCTGCAGCATTTCAATCATATGCTGCATGCACTTGTACACCTTAAACATGATAGCCTGTTAAAGCATAAGAAAAATGAGTATAACACTAATCATCATCATCAGGTTGCCCTCATACCATCAGTAACCATCATTTATCACTCACACCTCACAGCCATAATATTTACATGAACCTGGTTGGCAGACTGATCACAGAAAGAAATCACAAGGCCTACTGGGTTATTGGGCTACGTTGTGCACCTCTACCCTTCCTTAAACCTTTTAGCAATAATGACACATGATGTTCTATCTAAGCCCTTATTAGTCATGCTTCTCTTCTCACCCATGCATGCACCTTCTTTTGACAGCCCTGTTATGCATCCCTACTTGCACATCCCTTGACAATGCTTGTCATTGCCTTTCTTGTTTTCTCCATGTCAGGTAATGAAACCTTCATCATGCTGCAGAAGTGCCTCTGTATAGGTTGATGTCACATTATGTAGCTCACCTTTCATTTGTGAGACTTAGAGTAGCATGTAATTAAAAGCTTTGCCTCTGTCAATTTATTGCATATACAGATTTTATTGTTACAGTTTATGAGGCCTCTAACCTTAGATGCACATTTATGCTGGTGTACATTATGTTTGAAGTACCTTAGCCTGAAGGTGCAGAGATGATTGATGGCTGCCCTGTCATGCATCTGTCTAACTGTTTGCATGATGTTCAATGCTTGTTGAAAGCCCTATATGATGGAAGCAGGTGAGAACATGAGATATCATAGCTATCTCAGTGGCTTAGAAGTGATCACTGACACTTTGCTGAAAGTGTTTTAGGCCTTGATGCTCGATGAGAATTCTGAATGCTAGCTGCACTCATTCACAGAAAACACAAATATGAGATGATAGCTATATGTGCAAGTGCTTTAGATTGTATGAAGACTGGCTTTCTGGAAGACTCAGACATGTTTCTCAAAGTCTATGCTGACAGTGATCAGATGAAAAGGACTGCTGAGGCTGAAGATGCCATCATCATAATCTGGTTTGCCTGCCTCACGCAAACAGACTTTATGCTTTCCATCACCTTCTACCTTTGCTCTCAATTGGATTCAAGACATCTCATCAATGGAGTAATAGACAGTGACAGAGTAATATATGTATTGAACCTCAAAGACCTGGTGAGGTGCATCAATGGATGTGCAGACCTATAGTGGCACATCAATAGGTTCATAGCCCACAGCTTTAAACCAAAAGCTGATACCATGTGTCAGTAGAAAAATATCTGCAAAGCTGTCACAGATTTTCGCCACAAAGTCTGCACGTGACTTTTCTCATGCCACAGATCATGTGCTACACCAATATCCCATGCCACTCAGCCACAGATGCAATACGTAGGGATCAGGTGATAGTTCACATCACATGTTATGGTCCAGATCCGTGGAAGATACGGTCGGACCTGTCTATTCCAGGATACAATAGGGGCACCCATTTGAGAACAAAGGGAACAAGGACTATTGTTATGCATCAGCCTCCCACTTCCTATTAGTTTAGCCAGAAGCTTAGATGTTCTCACCGGAGAACAAAGGGAAACCAAGATAGGCACAATGTTCGCACACATTGCTGCGACAGCCATCAATCTTTCCACCTATTGTTTTACTTCTGAACATTGCATTGTTTCATGTATGGCCATTAGCTTATACCTGTAGATAGGTAGCTTAGGTAAGATAGCCCGCTGTACATGTATATAAGATCAGCATGTAGAGGATGAAACTTCAGATTGTTTCTCCTCGTCTACTACTGTAGCACCCACTGAGCTTTCCAAGCTTCTGCATATATCTTTCACCCTTTCATATGCTTGCTTCACCAACAAGTAAGTGTTAGGCTCTCAAGCCACTTAAGGGATCAGGGGGATCATTTGGGATCAGGGGCATCAGGGCAGCATGTTCCATGTGACCGTTTCTTTTTAGTCTCTTTGATCTCTTGTCCAGCAGTGCTGTGACATTAGAAACAATCTAACATTTTCTGCACCCCTGCTTAGTGTTTAACACAAGTGGCCGCATATTTTCAGCGCAAGCAGTTTCAGCCATAGCATATGACTTTTTTGACACACATTCCAACCCAACTTCTATCAGGCGTGAGCCTCAGCAAAACACTGAGCAGCCCAAGGCAGCAAAGCGCAAGGCCACCAAGGCAGAAGATCCCTATGCCAGCTACAAATGCCACGAGATGAACAAGGAGCAAGGAAGGCTTCTCACTCTAGCATCCCTCAGAGCTTCATCCACAGATCATCAGAGAGCAGCGGCAAGGGTAGTAGACACCACGCACATCAGGGTCCAAGGCATCATTCACCGACCTCGCAGTCACACCCCCCCACTCGAACAATACAAGCCCAGAGCTGGACGTCTCACCACAGGTGGTCGCAAGCTGAAACCACCCCCCAGAGATCATCACCTCCAACGCTGTTCCCCCCATCATTGTCGCTCCACAGCCAGTGTGACCCCTTCCCAACTTTGTTAAAGTCAACACACATGCACGACCCATTTGCCCTCTTCCATCCAGAATCAGGCCCACCATCCACATCGAAATGCTCAAGAAGCAGGTCTCAGCCATCCGCTTCAGACTGCAACTGATATTAGGAGCATTCTGGGAGAGGATTGATTAGAATAGATGAAAGAAGGTACAACTCCTTGCATCGAAGTCAGACAAAGTCTGCGCAGACCTTTACATGGGAACTCGTGAATACACCTTCGTCGAGAAACAGGTCATCAACACGTGCTGCCTGGAGATAGGCAAGATCAACTTTAGGGAGATAGGAAAGCAACAGAGGTTGGACGAGATCATCAGGGAGATTGGGAAAGTCAAGGACAAGCAGTACCTAGGCTTTATTTTTAACTAGAGATTTTTATACACACAATGTCAGAATCTGGTCATGCCCAAATGTCCACATTTGCACAGCGAATGCAGGACATAATGCGCCCAAACATCGAGGCACATGACGGAAGCACACCTCGTGCCTCAAGACAAGCATCACCAGAGCTGACATCACAAGACTCCGTGTCACAACTCGGAGGACCACCATCCCCAACTCCATCACTACTCCCCACCTACATACCCCCTGCATGGTCATACGATGGACACCAATACGAGCATCTTGAAGATGCTATCAGACAGTTTGCATCTGGCGAAGTTCCCAACAATATTCGTGAATGGGTGATCATTGTCATAAAATCACTGGTAGACAACGAGCTCAAGAAGATGTTCAATGTACTCGGTGACAAGATGTATGAGCACAAAAGAATTTTTGAGGCCTCAATTGCATCAGCTCAGACTGAGCGATGACTGAAAGAGGCGGTACTCAAGTCCGAGAATGAGAAACTCTCAAAAAAGATCAAAGCTCAGGACGCACACATGATCGTCCTCAATGATGAGATCACAAGCACCCAGGGAGCCATGTTAGACATGGAAAAGAAGATGATGGAACTAGGCAGTGAGAATACCAAGCTGCGTCATGAGTTAGCTTCACTCAAAGCAAGCAACGTTGCAATGACGCAAGGTTACACCTCCGGCATGGTTCAATCACACCACCCTCACATCAAGATAGCTGAACCTCCACACTACTCAGGCAAAGGAAGTCTGGAGGACTGGCTCCAACAACTCAGCATATGGATGTGGTGGAATGAAATCAATGATGATGAGCGCAAGATCACCACAGCGCTGCTGCACTTAGAAGGAGGTGCATTCACTTACATGTCAGAATATGCAACCAAGGCAGCAGCATGGCAGGCACTCGGCACTTGGGAAGACTTCATTGACATCCTCAAGGTAAACTACAGGACCCTCGACCTGGACAAGGATGCGCAACAACACCTGAAGGAGATTTGCACAAAGACCTACCCCACGATGGTCTCCTTCACAGAACAATTCCACCAGTGGGCCACTAAGACCAACTTAGGGCACACTGCACTCATCAGTTATATCGCTGAACATCGGAGCAAGGACATATGACAGGCAATGGTAACTCAAGACAGCCTAGGGATCGCAGATCCGATCACATGGCCAGAGTACCTCGACCTCTGTCTCTAACTCGAATCCAAGTTCAGGGCCGATAAGGCAGGACAGCATGGAATGGCAACAACACCATCACTAGCACCAAGAGCCCGAAAGGATCCTAATGCAATGGACGTGGACCATGTGTCCCAACTCACCAAGGAACAAGAAAGCTGGCTGGAAAAAAAGCTCTGTGTACATTGTGGGAAGCATCCCTTTGTATTCAAGCAGAAGTGCCCCAACCCCAAGTACAAAGGCAAACTAGAAATGATCAGATGGGGACAAGCAACAAGGGTGATATTGGCACCACCAGCATCAAGCGGTTCCGACAATGGCAAGGCAAGAGAAGAAGCAGTCCATGCCTTCCTCACCAGCTATGACGTGAAGGAAAAGGATAAAGAGGTGGAACCAGAACCAGCTGTCGAAGCAGCTAGAATCACGGAGGTGGAAAGTGATGAGGATTTTCTTTGGCAGGTTCTCTGAGGTCTGGCCAGAGTTCCCATAGACATTGTAACAGTACCTACTCACTCTCGCATGTACCAGTTTCAGATTTTCTATATATTGCATCAACTGGTTCGTCAAAACATGTGATCGATTTACCTGTTCACCTCAAACAGGAAGTAAGGGAAGTCCAGACTGAGGCGCTCCTCGACTCAGGAGCATATTCTTGTTACATCAATCCACAGCTGGTTGATCGATTGAATCCTGCTACGATCTCTCTCGAGAAAGAGATCAGGGTTTATAATGCAGACACGTCACACAACAAGGGTGAAATCATTAAGAAAAGGGTTCTTCTAAGTATAACTATCGGAAACCATACAAGCAGACAGAGCCTTCTTGTCACGGATATAGGTCACAAAGATGTTATACTAGGCATGAGTTTCCTCAAGAAGCACAATCTCGAAGTGAATTGGGGAAAACTTACCATTGAGTTCACCTGATGCCCACAATGATGCACATCCTCACAGGTAGCAGTCCAGGAGGAGGACCTGAAAAACACAAACATCCCCCACATCGAAGACCTAATGGAGTTCATCGGTTCTCAGGAGTTAGATGACAACTGGAATGACATGGACAGCTTCATTAGATGGGTGTCATTATCAGAAGACCCTGATGTGCAGGCCGTAGCATCACTTATCATGGGTCTTGACACCAAGAGAAATCAGGATAGAGTGCCGCAAAATGGAGAACAGGACAAAGACTACTGATCAGCCTATGTCCCCAAACACTTTCACGAGTATGGCGATGTGTTCTTCAAGAAGCAGTCAGAACGAATGCTCACAAGAAAGCCCCTATGATCATCCAATCGAACTTGTTCCAGAGGCATTGTTACCATGCCCGGCAAAGTTATATCCTATGAACCTACAGGAAAGAAATTCGCTTGACACATGGATACACCAAGAGTTGGCCAAGGGATACATCAAGAGATCAAGGAGTCCAACAGCAGCACCCGTCTTCTTCATCAAAAAGAAAGATGGCTTACTGAGGTTAGTACAAGACTACAGGAACCTCAACGCAGTAACAAAGAAGAACAAGTTCCCAATCCCACGCATTTCGGATCTCATCGACAGACTCTCACAAGCTAGCATATTTACAAAGCTTGATCTGAGATGGGGGTTCAATAACATAAGGATTAGGGAAGGAGACAAAGAAAAAGCTGCTTTCATTATGCATCGTGGCCTCTTCGAACCCACCGTAATGTACTTCAGTTTCTGCAATGCTCCTAGCACCTTCCAAACAATGATGAATACAGTCCTCAAGGACTTGATTCGCACTGAAAAGGTGGTAGTCTACCTAGACAACATCCTCATCTTTACGGATGATCTCAAAGAACACCAATGACTAGTAAAAGCAGTTTTACAGCACCTCCGAGACAACGACTTGTATGCCAAACTGGAGAAATGCTTCTTTGAACAGTCCTCAATCGAGTATTGTGGCATGATCATCAGCAAGAACTCGATACAGATGGACCCTGCTAAAGTCGAAGGTGTCCTTGGCTGGCCAGCACCTACTAAGGTCAAACAAGTACAGGCCTTTTTAGGATTCGTGAATTTCTACAGGCAATTCATAAAGGACTTTGTGAAACTTGCACAACCTTTAACGCTTCTCACCTGTAAGAACATGCCCTGGCAATGGAAGGAAGAGCAAGACCAAGCCTTCAGTGCACTCAAAATGGCATTTACATCAGCCCCAATCTTACAACTCCCCAACGACGCTGCACCATACCATCTAGAGACAAATTCCTCAGACTACGCAACTGGGACAGTACTCGAACAACTGGAAGAAGACAAGCTATGGCATCCAGTCACATACTACTTCAAATCACTCAACGAACATGAGCAAAACTATGAGATTTATGACAAAGAGATGCTTGCAATCATTCAGGCACTAGAAGAATACCAGCACTATCTAGAAGGACATCCAGAATGAATTGAGATTTGGTCAGATCATCTCAACCTTACATACTCCCACCAGACACAAAAGTTATCCTGGCACCAAGCACGCTGGGCATTATTCCTCATGCGATTTAACTTTGTACTTAGTCACTGACCTGGAAAGACTATGCTATGTGCTGATCCTCTGTCCAGGAGGCCAGACCATGAGAGGGGGGTAGACAGTGACAATTCGAACCAAATGCTGTTAAAATCCAAATTTTTCGCTATCAATGCGATTCGACCCACTCACGCTTCTGAAGTTGATGATGCTCAACTACTGGAAAGGATCAAGAAGGCACTCACAGATAACACAATGACCAAGGAGGATTATCGTGCACTTTTGACTACAGGACAGCGTGAATTTGAGAAAAACCTCGCAGAATGGAACTTTGAGCATGGACTACTGCTCTATCGTGGAAAGGTTTATGTCCCCAAGGATCAACAGCTATGCCTCAACCTAATAAAGCTCCATCACGACACATTACCAGCCAGACACCCAGGCAGGTTCAAGATGTTGGAGCTCATTACTCAGAACTATTGGTGGCCAGGAATGTTTGTAATGGTTAAGAAATATGTACAAGGTTGCGACAGTTGTCAACACAACAAGTACTCAAGGAAAAAACCATATGGACTATTACAACCCAATGATGTACCAGGAGGACCATGGGAGATCATCACAGTCAATCTTATCACTCAACTTCCTCCAGCCATGGACTTTAGGAGAAAAAAGAAGTTGGCAATACTTGTCATCGTAGACAGACTCACGAAACGAGCGCACTTCTATGCAACAGATGACACAGTTACCTCGTCGCAAGTCGCTAACGTATTCTATAATGAAGTCTTCAAACTCCACAGATTACCTCGACAAATTATCTCAGACAGAGGTACTCAATTTGTGAGTAAACTATTCCAGGAGTTCTGCCAGAAGCTCAGTATAAGGTCTACAATGTCTACAGCATATCACCCCCAAACAGACAGTCAGATGGAAAGGGTTAACCAGGTGTTGGAACAGTACCTTCGCATGTACTTCAACCACAGACAAAATGATTGGGTCTACTATCTGTCAACAGCAGAATTTTCATACAATAACCAGACCCATGAGTCCACCGCGCTTTCTCCATTCTTTGTCAAATACAGCTGACAAATAAAAAATGGCACCTGACGTACATGAATCAATATGTCATCCTTCATTGGAGCACCTATTCACTCACCGAGCCGAGGCATAAGAACAGGCAAAGGCAGCATTGGAAGTTTCAGCTTCACGGATGAAATGATACTTCGACGAGAAAAAGGGAGAAGTCCCATTCAAAGTCAGAAACCTAGTACTACTCAAAGGGAAAGATCTCAGGGTAAAAGTCAAATCCGTGAAGCTAGGCACACAAAACTTCGGACCTTACAAGATACTTCAGAAGCTAGACCCAGTCACGTTCAGACTAGAGCTGCCTAAGCAAATGAAGGTCCATCCGGTCTTCCATGCTAGCAAGTTGATCATGTACCATCAAGACATGGTCACAAACCGCGAACCCCCAAAGCCCCCAGCTATAGAAATTGAAGGAGAATCAGAATTCAAAGTTGAAGAAATTCTAGATTCTAAGGTGGTGAGGGGAAGGGTCCAATACCTCATCAAATGGAAAGGCTACGACCATTCCGACAATACATGGGAACCCCAAACAAATCTCACCAATGCCAACGAACTTCTTCAAGAATTCCACCAGCAACACCCAGACGCACCCAAAGCGCCAATCAGGGTTGTCACATTCGGTGGAAAACACTTCGAACTTTCCTCATATGAACTTGCACTGAAATCCACACACAGAATTAACATGTCTGATCACCCAGACGAGTTCTTCCTATATTGCAAAATGACTGACCTCACCAAATCACCAAAGAAATTCTCAAGTGAGGCAGCTAAATGGGATATTTTTGCTGCAGAAATGCATGAAATTCCTCTACGTTCATGAGCTGTAATAGGAACTGGAGTCGCCATTGACCCTCCAAAACACACCTACACACAAATAGCTCCATGAAGTGAACTGGCTTCTCAAGGAATTGACATCAGTGCAGGAGTCGTTGATCCAGATTACACTGGAGAACTTAAGGTCATACTAGTCAACACAACAGATTTCATATTTTCGGTCAAGCCAGGAGACAGGATAGCCCAGATAATATTCGAGTATTATGCAGAAGGGCTTCCCTCCAGAAGCTATCAGCCGTTATGAGCAACACGAAGAGGGAACAAAGGTTTTGGCTCCTCCGAACAATGAGCCTTGAGAGGGGGGTAGTGTCACAGATTTTCACCACAAAGTCCACACGTGACTTTTCTCATGCCACAGATCACATGCTACACCAATATCCCATGCCACTCAGCCACAAACGTGACACGTAGGGATCAGGTGATAGTCCACATCACATGTTATGGTCCAGACCCATGGATGATACGGTCGGACCTGTCAATTCCAGGATACAATAGGGGCACCCATTTGAGAACAAAGGAACAAGGACTATTGTTATGCATCGGCCTCCCACTTCCTATTAGTTTAGCCAGAAGCTTAGATAGGCACGATTTTAGCACAATCAAGCTCATCAATATCAGTGCACAGGGCATCACCCCCATCTGCATCATAGAGCAGGTACATATCACTTTAAGACATATAAAAGGGTCAATGCAGGGCATCACTCTAATGAGTAGAAGAGGGGATATGCATATGATGAAGCATGACAGGCCTATGATAACATAGCATGAAAAGTTTATAATGAGCAGTACAAAGCCATTGACAAGCAATATGAGGCTTATGATGAGCAACATGAGGCCTATGATGAGCAATGTGAGGCCTATAATAATGCAGTGCTACAGATCTATGACAAGCAGCATAAGGTCATTGATGGGAAGTGTGAGGTCATGAAAAGGCAGCACAAGAACATTGTTAAGCAGCTCGAGGCCATCAACAAGGAGTTGAGATCATGGAAAAGCAGTGTGAGGATGGTGACAAGCAGCTTGAGATTCTTAACAAGCCACTTGAGACCTTTGATGGAAGTGCAAGGCCATCGGCAGGGAGCATAAGGTCATTAGCAGGGAGCACAAGATGATCAGCAAGCAGCTCAAGGCCTTTGACAGGAAGTGCAAGGTCTTTGACAGAAATTACAATACCTTCTACAAGCAGTGTGAGGCCATGAATAGGCAGCATGAGAACATCAATGAGCAGCTTGAGGCCTTCAATAAGGATCTTAAGGTCATAAAAAAGCAGCATGAGGATGCTGACAAGCTGCTCAAAATATTTGACAAGCTGCTTGAAACCTCTGACAGGCAATGCAAGGCCTTCAGCAGGTAGTGCAAGGTCAGCAATAAGTGATGCAAGGCCTTTGACAAGCAGCTCAAGGCCTTTGACAGAAAGTGCAATGCTGTCAACAGGCAGTGCAAGGCCTTTAACAAGAAGCTTGAGGCCTTCAACAGGGATCACAAGGCCATCAACAAGCAGTGCAAAGTTATCACTGTGAATGGTTGATGAGAGGTGAGCATCAATTGCCAAATGTAATGAGAGCTTTGCTCAGATGGCTGATTTTCATTAGAGTGATGGCACTCATTTGTCCTGAAGTTCTTTAAGAAATGTTGAATGATTTTGATTGTTTATCTTGCATACATCAGTCTCTTTGATATCACAAGCTTTGAATTCAGTTATTGCATCTATGTATATTGTGGTGAATCAGTTGAATGTGTATATCTATGCAATCATTCTGTACTAGTAGACTACTTGGATAATATTATCTCTGCTTTGACAATTCATATGCATTCAGATAAATAAGCTCATAATGATGGTGGTATAGAATATAGTATACATAATGTGCAACATGAAAGGACATCCACCACAATCTATGGCATAAGTGTGCCTCGGCCAACTCCATGCTATCATACATATCATCTGTATAATCTGTCAATATTTAATGCAAGCATGGCAGATGGTGAAGGTGGTGAGTTAAAGAACATACACTGCATCATATACACTATGTGTGCCCCTGCCATTCAACTTTTCTCCAAAGTTCACTCCACCACAGTTCAGCTAAGGTCTGTCTGCACCATGCTGTATGCAGCTTTGTGATCTATGCACTATCAGTTCATGCTTCTTTAATTCATGGCACTAGCTGATAAGGACCATGATGCATAGCAGATATCAGATACCAGATATGAGAATGGTGCAGATACATGAGACATCCAAGCCCAAGCCAGAATCTCATTACAAAGTTAAGATTGTGCCATCCTTATTGCTAGCAGCTATACTATGCTATCTTTGCATTTATGGTGAATTTAGCACAGCAAAGCTTGCAGGTGTCAATGCACAGGATCTTACCTCTGTCTCTACCCTGACACAGATACATCTTCAAAATATGCAAGAAAAACAATGTACAGCATCACTGCAATAAGTAAAGGAGGAAATGTGCACCTGCAAAGCAGTGTGAGAAGCCAGAGACAGGCACCACAATATGCAGGTTCTAGCCAAGTTGTTTTATGATCATGAGCACCTGTTTAAGCAGCTAGACTAGAAGATGGTGCATCTGATGCTCCAAGCACTCACACTGCTCATTGTGATGCCATTCTTTCTTGTGGGTGATGCACTTAGGGAAGCAGGCAAGTTTATATAAAATATTTAGAGCTTGTTGACATTGTGGCCACAAGAGTATCACAAACTTAGGACGCAGAGTGCCGACTAAGCCTATGACCTTATGATCAAACACTTACTGACTGTTGTCGATGTAGGGATGGACACAAAGATGATCAAGGTGAAGCAGTACCTTTCAAGTGGGTACTGGTGACACTATATGGATAGACGTAGCAGAGATGAGAATAAGTCTGGGGGACTTATGCGTCTCAGAGCTCTGGCTTATATACATGAGTGGAGGGACCCTTGGTACCCTGATACCCCAGAACCGCTAGCTAATGGACATTGTCTGATTG